CACACCCCCCCCCCCCCCCAATTGAAAAAGCTAAGGGGAGCTTTAATTCATTTGAGTTTAAAGGTCCTTTTAGAATGATTTGATTTAAAGCATATTGTTATAAGCTTTTCAAAGGAGGCAGTTTATTATAGAATCCTTTTGAAACCTCTTTACTTATTCATTGATCACCCAGGGGAGTCCGTAAGTAGACTTTCAATTTCCACCTTTTGGATTGCACTGAACCTACCTGTTTGGATTGCACTATTACTGCTTGGATTGCACTATTACTGCTGCGACTAGTTTACTTATTCATTGATCACTGAACCTACCTGTTTGGATTACACTATTACTGCTGCGACTAGTTTACTTTAACAAAAACACTCTTTTTTCCATTGCAGCCATCCTAAATTACCTAACTACAGTTAGATGATGCTACATCCGACAGGAAGAGGCCTAGTTTTTCAGGAATTCTAGCGAAAAGAATCCCCTTATACATAAATTTTTTCACGGTGATATTACAGATGGTTTATTGCAGCAGAAAAATTGCCAAAATATTGCTCTTTTTGCTCTCGTCTGGGCTATGAAGGTCAGAATTATCTAGTGGGTCGTCGTGCTCCACAGACTGCTCATATAGTTTCCACAAATGTGTCTTCCCAGCCTCCAAGCCCTGTTCAGTTCCAACTGCTTCGAGCTCTCAGGTTCAAGCCACTCTGCTTCTGCTACCTGTGTGACTTCTCCTGCCTTAGTTTCATTGCATCTTTTACCCTTTTGTGGTGATCCAGACCCTGCTCATCTCAGCCTGGGAGCCTCCTGTTACTTCCCATCAAACTTGCATCCCTTGAAAAGATATTGTAAAGATTTTTTGCTCCTAAGCATATAACTAACAAAATCCTGCGTGCATCTTTATGTACACATTACCGAACTTCAATAAGGGGTGATGATACTAGTAACGCACTTCTAAGTGAGAGGGCTAGTATCACTGTGATTAGGTATAAGACCAAGGCCTTTAGCATCTACCTAACCTCAATTTTTCTCCACATTCAAAATTTAAAATTTTGCAAGTTCCACATTCACTCGTATCAAATTTGGAAAAGAAAACCAAAAAACAGAAATGTTCAAGAAAATGAAGAAAATAATATGTTAAGCATCTAACCAGCAACACAATCTATTGGTGAAGAACATTAAAAAGAAAAGAAGTTTCAAGTATTCGAAGAGAATTCAGAAATGGTAGTAGAAGATGACCTTAGACACGGATTGGGCAATATGTCTACCATCCTGAAGATCTGGGAGTTGCACAGCCAAACAATCCCTGGGAGTCTCAAAAGAAGACAATGAAAACTGCTTTGAAACCACACCAACATCAAAGTAAATTAACCCAGAGCTCGGAATATCTACCCGGATTTCCTTAACAGGGAACCACAGGAACAAATCCTGTGCAGAAATCCCGGATAGCTCGTCGATCTGCCCGTAACGCAAAGTACCCGAAACATTCCGTTCATAGTGCAGTTCATTTTCAAACTTGGCAATGCAAGCGCGATCCAAGTGAACCTCAAATTTCCCAGAATTATCCAAAATGAAGTCCTTCACGCCTTTCGGTAACAATCCCATCGGAAGCCCATGAAGCTTAAGTACTTCGTATATCGATGATGAAGTTATGGCTCCATCATACGCAGTTGATGCTATGAAAAACAGAGTAGAAAATAAGATCAAAAAATTGATAAATGGAACCATGATTCTATTAACGTTATGGCATGGAACAAAAAAATTTGGGTTTGGGTTTGGGTTTTTTAAGACAAAATAAAAGAGTGTAAAAATGAGAATACACGAGATGGGATTGTGAGGGTGTTGAAGAATATGAGGACGATGCCAGCAAGATTACAGAGAGGATTTAGGAGAATGATCAATTATTGGTGGAAACAGCGGGACCCATTTACTGAATCACACTTGTCTACAATCGATCTTTCCGGTGTATGATGGGCTAGCCAATGGGGCTTGAAAATAGTAGGAATATAATTGTAATTGAATCTATTACTGAGGAACTGTTTGACACGTGTCACGCTAAGGATAGTGTAAGGATCAGCGTAATAAAGGGGTGCCAGCCCCAACATCGGCAGGTGATATGCATGGAAGACTGAGTGATAAGTACGAGAAAGAAAGGACATGACGAGAGTGCAAATAGAAAAGGGAAAATTGTATCATTAGCCACCAACTTATTACTCTAGTAGCAAATTGATCCCTGACCTTTAAAGTAGAGCAAGTTAGTTAAAACAATCATTTCTCGAGAAATAGTAAAGCGTTCATATCTCTGTTAAATTTTCATGTGGCCATCCCCATTCAATTATATGAAGCAATATTTTGTTCACAATTTGAACGACTGTCTAAAAATTTAAAGTGAGACATATTTAACACAGAATACATGATAATTTAACGAATATTTAAATGGTTTTCTTCATTAAAGAATGATTATATAAGAGGACTATTATTCGTCTAAAGGTTCTAGTTGACTGTTGAGTTTGGAGGAAAAAATTAAGGGATATTCGTTTACCTTATATAAATTGGCCTTAAAAGTTTAGTCCATAGGTAGCTTAACTCCAAAATTTTAGAATATTTCAAAATAATATTATTTAGCATCAATAGTGTTGAGCACTGGTCTATGTAATAGTGAAAGTCCACATTTAATTGTCCAATTAATCAAAATAAATTTTAATTTTATTGAACAATTAAGGGTTCATTTAGCAAGGTTTTTGAAAAATCAAAAACTGCTTCTAACACAAAGAAGCTACTTTTGTACCTATTTAAATAATTTTTTGAAAGTATTTTATCTAATTAGAATAGTATTTAAAAGAAACATCCTTCTACTAGAAGTAGAAACAAAAGCATAAGTCATGTCAAATAAGCTCCAACGGTGAATTAGTATTGTCACTTTAAATTGATGTTAAATACAAGTAACATTACTCAATTTAAAATCTAGTTCTAGGTGATTGAAGACCAAGTTGTTATTAGAGCAATTATTAGGGGACTAAAAATGCAATTTTCCCAAGTGGAAAATGTCTTGACAGAAGGATCCAAGAGAGTGCACGTATAGCTATTCCTCTTTATCTATCATGTATACATATTTGGAGAAAAAAGCATGTGAAGATGGGTCTGGATTTTGTTCTTTTGATGAATTACTATGATTTTTTGGTCTGCTCATACATTTTGTCTACCTGAATTATTTTGTTTATTTGTATACTCTAATAATGCATCATGGCCAAGTAGCGTATTACATGTGATATTAGGCATGTCAAGCAAGTGCCATTATGGGTTTGTGTTCATATGGTCAAGCCGGAAGCCAACCACACATTAAGACATGTTCGTGATTAAATAATGTTATTTAGTATCAGTAGTGTTGCTACATCGATTTAGATGACACCGTGTGATACGTTTAGTTAAATGTAAAATTATGTGACATATTGAAGTGTACATCTTTTTTAACACCAATTAATATCATTTACACTGGTATTGTAACAATAATGATGTTAATCCAATTTGGATGGAACTTCCCCAATAAATTTGTCTCATTTGTAATGGTTAAAAAAAAAAAAAAAAGGAAAAACACGTTAAAGCGTGCAATGTAACACTTATCAGCAACTAAACAACTAGACGAATGTGAGAAATGAAAATAAAAATTTTGGTTGTGCGATATATACATTACAACTTATAGAGATTTTCTAACATTGTTCACCAACAAATAATGTGTCAAAATTTGATTGAGTCAAAATTTCACAAACAAAATAATAAAATTCTCACTTTCATTTTATCACATCATCAATCTATAAAAGAATATGTAAATGGTCACTTACAATAAACATTTTCCTAAAAATTTTGAATCGAAAGGCCTTCATTTATGAGAAATTTGCATTGTTTGTCCTGAATCTTTTGGAATGAGTTTCAAGTTAATCTTCAACATATATAAATAAATAAGTTGATTGTCAAAATTTTGTTAGTGCTGCACCGTTCGTTTGGTGAGCAGATTCCATTGAAAATTATATTTTTAAAAATTAATAGAATATAAAAAGGAACAGGTTGATATTGTTGAATTTTAATTAGTGCTGGACTGTTAGTCTTGGTGAACAAATTCCATTGAGAATTATATTAAATTGTGATGCGAAAATTTTAGTAAAATTAATTAAAAGAAGGAGAGAGGAAAAAAAAGAAGGGAGAGAAAGAGATAAAAGGAAAAATAAAAAATAAATCTTTAGTACAAAAATTCATATCAGATTGGGATTCAAAACTAGAACTCAAGTTTTGTTCTAAACCAAGCTAACACTTAAATAGGAATGGCAAAAAAACCCATCAAACACGGTACTCGGGAGCCTCGCCCCGAAGGATGCTGGAATTACTTGTTTAATCAGGTATTAGAGTCGAGGACGGGCGGGTACAGATAACAACGGCCCAATTATCCCTCTTTATTTTTCTTTTTATTTTTTTATTTTTTTTTTTAAGAATTCAATATTTCAAATGAAAAATTCCACAAAAACATTCATTAGTTCTAATAGAATATGGCAATTAAGATCATTTAAGGAATATGAAGAACAATAAAAATCTTAATTTACCAAATGTTTTCAAATAATTTAACTTTTAAAAATAAAATATTAATAAATATATTATTGTCTCATTTCAATGAACGAGAATAATAAAATGAATTTAAAAAAAAAGAAAAAAAATTAAGCAAAAGAGGTTGGGTCGAGGGCCTCACCTTGCTCCAGCCCACTTTAAACTGGTAATAGGAGAGGGAAATTACTCGGCAGAAGAGGTTGCGTCGATCCCTATCCATCCAGTTGACATCCCTAACACTAAACTGAAAAATAAAGTTATTTAAATACCTTAATGAAATAAACCCTAGACCAACTCAAAAGGACAAAACTACCCTCTAAAATAAAGAGTCCATAAAATATTGACCATTCAAGAATTTAATAATTAAAAAGCAATTCAAATAGCTCAAGCCTCAAGGCAATTCGATCACGGTCAAGCTTAACCGGCTTCTATCTCAAGCTCCTATCTTGTTTCGCCTCTTTGACATGAATGTCTCCACTACTCAATCACCAACTTATCTTGATGCTCGCTCTAAATTTCAGTACTACCTCTAATATAACACTAATTCGCACCCTTGCACCTTTTAATTTGCAGCCTAACAAGCTCACGGAGTATCACTGAACACTCAATTTGTACTTGGATACTGATGGTGCAACACTAATTAATGATAAAGGACTAATTTATTTCTTTCCGTAAGTTGGAGATTAACTTGCAACTTGATAAAAAGATTGGAGACCAACAATGCAATTTCCCTTTATTTAATTACAAACCTTAGGGCAACTCCAACCATTGCACCATTGCACCAAAATTTGGTGCAAACTTCCTCCAACCATTGCACCATTGCACCAAATTTTGGTGCAAAAAATGGTGTAATGAATAGTATTGCACCAAATATGGTGCAACACTATTCATGTTGCACCATTTTGCACCAAATGGTGCAATGCCCATTTTACCCTTATTTTTCTTTTTTCAAAGATAATGGTTAAGGACATTTGTGTCATTTTCATTCTATAATAATAATGATAATGATAATGATGATAATAATAATAATTACTTAATTAATTACACTATTAATTATATTATTAAAGTTTATTATTTTTAATAATATAATCAATAATAATTAACGTAATTGTTAATTTAACGTAAAGTTAAATTCGTAAAGTTTACTTTTAAAATTAAATTTAATGTAAAGTTTATATTATTAAAGTTTATTATTTTTGTAAATTTAACGTAATTGTTTATCATAAATTAATAATATAATCAATTATTTTTGTCAATTTAACATAATATATATGACATGTAATAATATAGTAATCAATATATTTTTTAATTTAATGAAGTTATGATTTAGTAATATATATAGTTATAAAATAAATAAATAATATTTTAAAATAAATATATTGTCAAAAATCAAAAGAATGAATAAAATAATAAATCACTGTTTATTTGGTGTAAATTTTGGTGTAATGGTTGGAGAAAAATTTTGGTTTGGTGCAAGATTTAGTACAAAATTTGGTGCAAAATGGTGCAAAATTTGTTGTATGGTTGGAGATGGCCTTAAGGGCAACAACCTTGAAAATTAAACAGTCGAGAAATATGCGCAAACGTACCGGATTATGATATGTATCCATGGTGTCAAATAGCGAAAGAGTAGTCGAATTCGATTTGCAAAGGGTTCAGCCGTTGGACTCTGTGTTTGGAATTGACGCCGTGCTCTTTATAATCTGGAAGGGAGAAAGGTGGTGTTTTGAGTTTACCTTTTGAGGCAGTAACGAGAGAAGGGCAGTATAGGGAATTCTCATGAAAGAACATTTTTTATCTACAGTAAGTTTCAGGGTGTCATGTCAGATATAATGCAATAAATAATTGAAGTTTAATAGTGCTTTATACCATATTAATCAACTAAGCAACCATTATTTATGAAAATAGAGTTTTGTATATTAATTTTTAGCCCCTATTTGATAACTATTATTTTTCAATATTTTTTATATAATTATTTTTAATCGTTCATGCAAAAAAGATATTTTACAAGTAAATCTATTTTTTTAACTATACATTCTTTTAAAAATCACTATTTAAAATAATATTTTTTCAAATAATGGCTATCACAAGGCATAAAGTGTTCTCAATTTTCTGACATAGGATTTGTTCAACAATGATTATGAGAATTAATTTTTTGATTGTTAGAGAGAGAAAAGTGGATCTCATCTATTAATGAAAAAGTGAAAAATGACGGCTGAAATAGTGAAATAACAATCAAAAAGTTAATTTTTTAGATAAACAATTGCTATCAAAC